GTCTGGTATGGTAATGATCATATACCAAAAGAGGATCTTGAAAGTGTTTATTCAAGTTGGAAATGAAATTGAGAGTCAGAAAATGTTAACAACAGCTTTCTTCAAGTAAATGAAGGTAGAGGCAAGGTTATTTTCATTTTTTAAATGGAATAAAAAGTGGTACCAGCATATTTTGTAATAATGAATAATTTGAAATAATCCAAATGGCCATTAATAAGAGCATGGTTAAATAAATTATGACACAGCTGAGGAGTGATACTGGCCAAAAAATAGTATTGTTTTTTGTGCATGTATGAATATGTAATAACAAATTCCATAATTATGTACAACTTGAATGCACCAATAAAATGTGGAAAGAACAAAACAAACAAAAAATGGTTTAAATGGTAGAAAAATCATGATACATCTAGGACATGGAATATTAAACTGCTTTTATTAGTGCAGCATAATTATACATTGAAGTGGGTTAATTTTGACATAATACACACATGCATGGAATACAATTTGTTCCATTACAGTACTTCCTCTTTCTCTCTACTTCTCCTCCCTCTGTTCCCCTTCCTCTACACCACTGGTCTTCCTTCTAATTATTTACAGTTTTTTAATTGGTACTTTATAGATAAAGTGAAATTCACATGGTGTAGTCATAGCAAAATTTGGTCAATTTCATTGGACAATTCCTCCCTTTTCCTGTCCCCTCTCCTTCTCCCTTAATAATCTTCCCCTACTCCATTGATGTTCCTTTTATTTTCATTGTTCCCCCCTCTCTTTTTCTGTTATTTTGCTCTAGCTTCTACATATGAAAGAAAACATTCAAACCTTCCCTTTCTGAGTCTGGCTTATTTCACTTAGCATAATGTTCTTCAGTTCCACCCATTTACCAGCAAATGCCAAATATCATTCCTCCTTTTGACTGTTTAAATTCCATTTATATATTCCATTCATATATTCCATATGAATTCATATATACCATAACATTTTCTTCATCCATTCATTTTTTGATAGGCACCTGTGTTGGTTCCATAATTTTGCTATTGTGAATTGTACTGCTACAAATATTGATGTGCTTGTATCACTATAGTATGCTAATTTTCATTATTTGCGATAAATATCAAGGAATGAAATAATGGGGTATTATGGTAGTTCCATTACTAATCTTTTGAGGTAGCTCCATATTGCTTTCCAAACTAGTTGAACCAATCTGCAGTCCCACCAACAATGTATGAGTGCACATTTTTCTCCATATCCTTGCCAGAATTTATTTGTATTTTTGGTGATTTTTATTCTAACTGGAACGTGATGAAATCTCAGTGTGGCTTTAATTTATATCTGAGAATTTTTAAGGATTTAATAGCAAGTATTTATTAAATAATTACTACCAGTTATTCTACATATTCTACATACACTACATAAACAAGATATTATTATTCCCATTTACAGAAAAAAAGCAGAGAGAAAGATTATATACTTGCTGAAGGTAACAAACAGGTAAATAACAGAACTAGGATTAGAATCAAGCAATGGATTCATATCCAATGCTGTTAATCACTATACCATATTTCCTAGTTATCTGTATAGAATGCACCTTGCAGAATAGAATATGCAGTATGATTCCATCATGAATTGCTTGTGCTATGTGTCAACACTTCCAAATACTTTACACATAATAATTTAATCATCATTATATATATATATATATATATATATATATATATATATATATATGAAACAGATATTATTATTTCCATTTTACCTATAAGAAAACAAGCACAGAGAAGTTAGATAACTTGCCCGATATTAGGCAAATGTAAGTGGTAGAGCCTGATATCAAAGCCTGTGTGGTTAACTTCCTTGCTGAGTTGACTTTCTCCCCCTTTTCATTGCCTTAATATATACAACCATTGTGGTGGAAAAGCATAAAAAACAGAACTGTTGTTCAATGTCAGAAAGCAGGTAAAGTAATATTTTTATTTTTAGACCCTGTATTTCTATATGATTTGAATTATTATATAATGAGCATGTATTCATAATAATTTTGTCACAGGAAAGCAGGGAGCTGGAACTGCAAACCTTGTTTTTTGTATTCCCAGAAAGATAATTTCAAGTCAGACACCAAAAGCCATGCAAGAGAACTTTATTATAAGTGAAAGTGAGGTGAAAGGAAAGTAAGGCTCAAGCAGGGAGCATTCTCAATAGAGAGAATGGGCTGTCTCCAAGCAGAGAATGACATACAACACAATGCTGTCTCTAACCTTATTACCGTTTGATGTTTACCAGGAGAATTAGGGTCCTCTTCAGCAACCTTCACCAATCAGGTGTTCAACTCCTCTTTCATGTAGGGCAGTGGAGATTCTGACCTTAGTTGGTCCTCTCTGGAACTGTCATGGTGGCCATCCTATTTAGTGGGCTTCATCTACAAGTCAATCCCATGCTAATGTGGACATTGGAGTCAGTAACTGGTCAGAAGTTACTTTATTGAACCCACACAACTAAGGTAATCTTACTTCCCATACAAACAGAAACACCTCTGGCTATAATTCCTAGCTTCACACCAACCTCAAAGATCCTATAAAGAGTTACTCCCATTAATACTTTTATTTTAACACATTTTCCTACTAGCCCCTTTGCTTCTTTTTAAAAAAAAATATTTATTTTTTAGTTGTAGTTGGGCACAATACCTTTATTTTCTGTGGTGCTGTGGATCAAACCCAGGGCTTAGGTGAGCACTCTACCATGAACCACAACCCTGGGCAACTGCTTCTTCTTTTTTTTTAACCTGCTATTTGTTTTCAACAAATTAACTGCTATTTGCTTTCTCTTCCACTTTGAAAGTAGTTTAAAGATCCTAAAGTAATTTAAAGAACATTTGTGACCTTTCCATGCATTTCACTATTCATTGCTAGCTACTATCCAACAATGTGAATGATTGAAAAAATAAATAATTCACACAAATGACAAGAAAAATATTTGTTATCTTTATCAAGGTTTTCCAAAGCCATAAGTAAATCTAGATATAAAATGCTAAAGTAGACTGAGAAGCAGAAAGAAAATTTTTACATAGTTAATATTTTGGGCTACAATTATAAATATAGCTTTTGTTTCATAGTATTTTATCATTTTAAATAATTATCAAAAAAACATGCTACAGAGTAGGTTAAATTTAACTTTGTAGGCCATACCAATCAAATTTTTTATTTTAAGCTGTCAAGTTATTCTCTTACAAGTAATAGTGCATTAATTGGAGCCAAGGGAATGGCTTATCTTGAACTGAGGAAATATGTTACAATCCACATGAGAAAGATAATACAAACAATTTAAAAAATTGATTTCTTACACATAGTATTACAACAGAATATTAAAAGGAAATGGAGATGTCTAATTCCTCCTACATTATACTCCTTCATTGTTTTTTTGCCTTGCTGACCCCTACATCCAGCTGATCCAAGTTGTATTGGATGTCCTGTCTTAAAAGCTCTGCCTTTCACAACTGCCATGATCTTTAGTTCTTGGATTGCTGCAAATGCTTCCAGTCTGGCCCTCTTCTAATCAAATTAACATGTAAAATTGGTCTGCCTTTCATGAAAAACTGCTAAAATTTTCAAAGGCTTCTATCATCCATTGATTAATACAAGTTGATACAACTTATGACATGCCTCAAAGTGAAAGATTCTTACAAACGTTTTACATTTAATCTTCACAGAAGATCTACAAGTTATGATTATCCACAATTTGGCACAACAGGAAACAACTTTGAAAATATTATTAAATAATATAAAATAAAATAAAACTAAAATCCAACATGAAATCAGAAAACCTCTGTTGATTTTCCCAGTTTACCTCCTCAGCCTCCCTTTTATTTCTCTACTTGCTTCCAAAGCTACAATTGCCATTTTTTTCATGACTCCTCTCTCTACCAAAAAGTCCTTTGTTCTTCTAAATTCCCTGCAGACTATACATCCTTCAGGTTGTAGTTCAGCTCTCAATTATTCAGGGCTGCCTGCCTTGACCCACTAGTCTCCTTTAGTTTTCTCTATATTTACCTTCTTTTGTTAGGTTTTACTCTGTGAGTTACTTGAAGGCAAAAGTAGGTTTTTTTTTGTTGTTGTTGTTCACTGATGTGTTCTGAATGTGTCTAGCAATTATTATCATTAATAATTATTATTACCATTTTCTGAACTACTATTTAAATGGTGTGCCAAACACTTTCACAAACTTAATTCATTTGATCCTGACAAGGATATTGGTAGGTAGGTATGACCATACTCATTTTAACCACAGAGATACTGACAGGAAGTAAGTAAGTAATCTGCCCCAAATCCATAGTAATTAAGTGGGAGAACCATAGAATATGAATTTGCCTAACTCGGGAGCTGGGGCTGAGCAGTTCTTTGGTCCTTCGCTCTTAATTTCCATTATCATCTACCCACTTTTGGGAAACACCCAAAATATTACTACACTCCACTACTGAAAAAGATTAACTGGAAAATGAGTTAAGAATATATTGAAAAGGAAGTCAACATTTAAGCAAGAGGTCATCTTTTTACAGAAGAGGAAAAGAGAAAAAGTGTTAGGAGAGGCAGGGAATATTGCACCTGGTATAGCACAAACTAAAAAATTGACTCCCAGAAGGAAAAGGAGGGCTGCAAATCACGTTCTCAAGAAGGGCGGAGGGCTGGGGGGGGGGGCAGGTAAGAGACAGAAAACAGGAAGCTCCCTGGGCAAAGAGAAAAGATAATGTTGATATGATGGTCACCTCCCGACGAGTACCGTTTGTTCTTTCTCTTTAAACTCAAACAACACAAGTTTTATTTGTGTTTTTTTTCCACGCAGTACATTGCATTTGGAATACTTTCAGTCTCGGGTGACTCCGTATTTTTTACGCAGCTTTAGTAGCCTACAGAAAAGTTCCCGCTTGCCTAGCCTCCTTTTCCAAGCAGGGCGGAGGGAAATGGAAAGCATGCTGGGCCTGAGAATGCATTTTACACTTCCCGCTCCTCCTCTCCAGGGCCTCTCAAATGAGGAGATAAAAGAGGACTTAGCTAGTGTTTATCACTTCTGGGAGTCCAGCCCTCCTCCCCGCCTGCCGGTGGGGGCTTCCGCTCTCTGGTCACCAGGAACCCGCTTTCCTCAGAATGGGAGCTAGCATGCGCCACAGGGGCTCTTGTTTTCCAGCCAATCCCGAGCCCAAGGGCTACTGGCCCTTAGAAACCCGCTTGGAGGTTCGGACTACTTGGGTGTTCAGACTACTGAAGCCAAGCTGAGCTGAGGGAAGTAGCCGTGAAGTAGTTAACTTCTTATTACTCCTACAAAAGTACCCTGCGTGGAAACAATGAATTCCATTAAAGTCTATTATACCAGCGTGTCAGGCTCTAGGGAGGTGAGTAGGAAGAAAAGGGCCTCAGCGCCAGGGCGGGAGCGGGAGAGACTAGAGTGAAGACATTCTAGTTGGAAACTTCAAAATTTTGCTAATACTTTACATAACCTTTCTTCCTTTCCTCTCAACTCCATACTTTCTAGGCTTTGGGAGGTGGGCGGTGCACAGAAGGACAGATAATGTGATTAACTCTCTCATACAGATTGAGCTCTAAGAACTGACTGACATGGGAAGTTACTGGTATCTTGAATTCAACCACCTCAAGGACCTTCAATAATTTTACCTGTATTTCAAATGGTAGAAATAAAGAACTCTATTTAGGAAGGGAGAGGGAAAATGACAGTGAATGAACACCTAAACTCCTCAGAGAAGAGAACCCAAATGAGACAAACTCTTATTTATTATTATTATTATTATTATTATTATTATTATCACTATTAAGTACTGGGTATTGAACTCAGGGGTGTTTTAACCACTGAGCTATATCCCCACTCTTTTTTTTTAATTTGACGCAGGGGCAGGGGTGGTGTCTCAGTGGTAGAGTGCTTGCCTACCATGTGTGAGGCACTGGGTTCGATTCTCAGCACACCATATAAATAAATAAAATAAAGGTCTATTGATAACTAAAAAAAATATTTTAAAAAAATTTGAGGCAGAGTCTCACTAAGTTGCTGTGGTTCTCACTAAATTACAGAGACCTCCAATTTGTGACCTCCTGCCTTAGCTTCCCCAGTCGCTGGGACTACAGGGTGCACCACTACACCCTGCCAAACTGTCGACTTCTTATTTTTTTAAGTTATACATATCAGTAGAGTCCCTTTTAATATAATTATACAAGCATGCAGTATATCTTATTCTAATTAAGACCCCAGGTTTGTGGATGTACAAGATGGTGAGATCCACTGTGTAACATTCATATATGTACATAAGAAAGTTATGTCAGATTCATTCCATTGTCTTCCCCTAAAAACTGTCAATTTCTAATAAGTAAATGTATTTGCATAGATCAGACGTTTCTTAGATGAATTGAAATTTAAATGACTTCTTTTAACCAGAATGTAGGAAATATTATAGAATGGAACTGCGCAACAGAAATATAATGAAAGCCATATATGTAACTTGAAATTTTAGTAGCTATTTAAAAAACAGGTGAGATTAACTTTAATATGTTTAACACAAAATATCCAAATACCATTATTGCAACATGTAATCAATATAAGAAATGCAAATATTATATATTATTTTTTATATGGTCTTCAAATTTACTATGAATTGTGCAAATACTACATATAGTACATCTCATTTTGGAGTAGCCACATTTCATTCCATGATAGTCACATGTGACTAGTGGTTATCACATTAGGCAGCACAACTATAGAATGACCAATATATGGCCAAGAACCTCCTTCTACGATTTTTTTAGACAAAAATGAAAACTGAGGAATTTGGAATTGATTATAAATGGTTGACATAGCTTCACCACAATCATTCTGTGTGTCAAACTCCATATTTGCAGGAGGAATGAGATTGATTCAGTCTTGAAAGAGGAGGCTGATTTTGCATAAAACCTGGTCTGGTAGTTTAGTGTTTTCGCCTGTATACTAACCCACAAGAATAAAAATGAGCAGATTTAAAAAAAGAAACCTGTGGGCTATTTTACTAGGTTTTTCTTTTTAGCATTGTAATTAATGTTATTGAGTTTAGTAACTGTAAGAGGGAATGATTTGGAGTAAGAACCACAATGAATTCAGTAGATCACCCACTGAACTCTTGTCCCATGACATACTGTAGATAACAATCATCTGGAGGGTTTGTTAAATTTTTCCTAGGACCCACCCCCAGAAATTCTGACACTGTAGATTTGAGGTGGACTAATGCTGATGCTGCTAGTCTGTGAATCACACACAGAATAGCACTGCTCTAGGCAACCCTATTCTAATGGGTTCCTCTGAAAAGGTTTTGAAAAATTAGTATAAAAATGTGACTCAAATGTCATGTAATATGACTTCTCAGTTTTAAAAAACTAATGAGCCTTAGAAATTAGAAATGCTGCATTTTAGAATTTCAGAATTTTCTCCATTATCCATTGGATATAGTCACAGTTTTCTAAGCATGGCAGGATTACCATTTCAAGTCATCAAACAAAAAGCCTACTGACATGCACTTTCATAGAAATCCCACTTGAATAAGCTGGGTTTGGGTTTGTCAGATTGCTTTCACATGTTTTCTTTCATTACAGATTTTATTTGACAAAATTGACCAAGTTTGTCACATGAAAATGTAGTAACCTTAACCTTTACCTAAGATTTATGTTGTAGGTTTTTTTTAAATATGGCTATTAAATACATTTAAAAAATAACCAACTTTTGGGGCTGGGGTTGTGGCTCAGAGGTAGAGTGCTTGCCTAGCACATGTGAGGCACTGGGTTCGATTCTCAGCACTGCATATAAATAAATAAAATGGTCCATTGACAACTAAAAACATTTTTTTTAAAAATAAACCAATCAATCAATCAATAAAGGTCCATAAATACCTAAAAATATTTTAAAAAATAACCAACTCTTGAAATTTTACCTATTAGCAGATGATACGAATTTAACAGTTCATATGAAAGGACAGAGTAAGAAGTGACCACCTTGATATACTCACTTACTTATAAATAGTAATCCGTTCATGTATTTATGTTTTTAATCCTTTGGATTGCCTCTCTGATTTAGTCTCTGTGATTTGTAACTTTTAGTATGTTTCCCTCAGTATTAAAATGTGGTATCATGTCCATTTCCTATCCAGAACTGCCATAGATACTAGTATAAATTAAAGCACGAACGAGTGCAAAAGCCTGCCTCAACTATTAGCAGAATGTTCTTAACAGCTTAAAATACAGTGTGAAATCAATCTGGTAAATATTTACAATCCATAAGAGATTTTCAACCCCCACAGACACTATAATTTTCTTATATACAGTTGACAATTGAACAATTCTGGGAGGCTGGGAGGTGTTAGGAGAGCAGAGATCAGTCTTACCCCCACAGTCGAAAATCTGCAATTTAACTTTTGATTCCTCAAGACCAGAAACCTTACCAATAAAGTATACAGTTGAATAGTACACATTTTGAATGTTATATATTATATATGTTGAAAGTACATGAGAACCAGGAAAGATCACTTTTTACTGAATGGTGCAATTAACTGAAGAGAGGAACTGCACATGCAGAGATGATTAGCATCACATAGACTCACCTTAGATTTTTAAAGCACATACTCCAAACATAAGAGCTCATTGAAATAGGAACAGTAGATGGCTACAAAATTAATATAGTTGTATAGAATGTATTGTGGCTAATTTTATGCAGTTATGATTTAATACTGCATCAGTACAGTGTTTACACTTGTGGCAACTGTGAATGGTGCCATGTACAGTTTGTTGCACATCTATCTATGTATATACATATACACAAACATGTGTATACACATATATACACATGCATATATTAAATGTTTATATGACATATATACTATATGTAATGTGTTTATATATATATATATATACACACACACATATACATACACACACACACACACACATACAAACATATAAACTTCACAAGAACAATACTTAACTTTGTTTCAAAATATTTACAAGAATCCCTAATTTGTTTCACAATCAGGCTTTGTACCATTAATAGCTATTCCTGTTCTATAACATAATGGACAAGGAAGGGGAAAAAATATTGGGACCAATTGATTCAACTTATTAACATCTTTCTTTCTATATTTCTATCTAGGTAAAGCAGAGACAAGAAGAAGTTATCAGAATTTTAGATGCTTACAAAGTACAGTATGAATTAATAGATATTTCTATCAGTTTGAAAGTACTCCAAGAAATGAGGATGAAGGTTTCCACACCTAAGGCTCTACCACCTCAAATATTCAATGGCCAAGACTATTGTGGAGTAAGAGTGAATATCCATTTTTATTCTATTTTCATTTCATATCTTAAAGTCATATACAAGAGAAAATGTATATGTACAGGGTAAGAGGGTTAGATTTCCCCAGCTATAGAATAATTTAATTAAGTTCCTGAAAGCAAGGCAATTTTTATTTTATGAAGAAAAGATTATTACAAAAGGAAAATATAGCTGGGCATGGTAGCACATGCCTATAATTGCAGCAAATGACCAACACATATATGAAAATTGTTCAACATTATTAGCAATAAGGGAAAATGCATATCAAAACAACACTGAGGGCTGGGTTGTGGCTCAGAGGTAGAGTGCTCACCTACCATGCATAAGGCACTAGGTTCAATCCTCAGCACAACATAAAAATAAAATATTGTGTCCACCTAAATCTAAACAAATAAATATTTAAAAAAAAACAACACTGAGATTTATCTCACTCCAGTCAGAATGGTAATCATCAAGAAATAAAAATAAAATAACATCTAGGCGGGTGGCGTACACCTGTAATCCCAGCGACTCAGGAGGCTGAGTCAGGAGAATCACAATTTTGAGGCCAGTGTCAGTAACATGGTGAGGCCCTTAGTAATTTAGTGAGACCTTGTCTCAAAATTTAAAAGAGTTGGGGCTGTTGTTCAGTTGCTAAGCACCCCTGGATTCAATCACTAGTACTTCCAAAAGAAAATAAGAAAAGAAAATATATCATGAAGCTTGTTTGAAGATAATTATATCAGTATTTTTCATCATACATCATAATATGAAATAAGTCCTATTCTGGAGAAATTTTTCATCTAACTTAACTAGCAGAGGTTTGCAAAGCCTAGGCAGACTTAACGTGGACACTTGAGTTTAATGGGGTCATAATTGAGAATTATTATCACTGATGTTACAAGTTAATTTTATTTTTGTTTTGTTTTGGTTTTAGGATTTCGAAATGTTCCACAAGGCAAAGGAAAACAAAGAGATTCTGAAATTCCTGAAGATGGAATGAACGGGCAGTTATGCTGAGATGTTTACTAAGACGGTTCTACATATACTTCATAGATCTGTTTAATTAATCACTTTAATACATGGACTGGTTCCATTTCAAGGGTGCATTAAATAATTTCTTTGTTACTCTGTGAACATTTTATTTAACTATAAAAAAACTGAGCTGGGGGTGTGGCTCAGTGGTTGAGCACTTGCCTAGCATGTGTGAGGCTCTGGGTTCGATCCTCAGCACCACATATAAATAAATAAAATAAAGGTCCATTGACAACTAAAAAATATTTTTAAAAAAATAAAAAATAAATATCTATTAGCATCAAATTTTAAAGGTCACTAGTAGTTATCCATTTATAAGCATGAAGTAGATTTTAGTACAATTTTCAATTGGCTTTCAACTTTATGTTTAAAAATGCTTATCAGTACAATTAGCAGAGGATTATAGACTGTACTGATGTGATTTTTAAAAAAGGAAAAAGGAGAAAAAAGCATCAAATAATATTCCAAGTCTTCCTAAAAAAGAAGATAGAGGAAGTAGGAATTTATGTAATTAAAAATATCTTCAAGTGATTATTTTTATACTGGGGATGGAAGACTGGGGAATTTTTTTCACTGAGCTATATTCACAGATATTTTTATTTATATGTATTCATTTTTAGGCAAGATCTTGCTAAGTTTCTGAGGCTGTCCTCCAACTTGTAATTTTTCTGCCTTAGCCTACTGGTTCACTGGGATTATAGGCTTGCACCAGCATTCCTAGCAGATGAATTTTTTACACACTAAAATCTGGTACTAGTACTAAAAACAATTTTAGGTCACCTCCCCTTTGCCCCCACCTCTGCTATAAAATGGCAGATTTTTTTTTTGCAAAACTCTTTCTCCTCAAGTAGTTCTTCTCTTGTTGACAGGCAAACCAATCCACTCAAGATCCAACTGAGAAACTTAAATGTCATCCTTAATATCACTCATGCCCTCACTCCATCAACCCTTAGGTGAACTGGTATTAATATTTCATTTACCTTTAAGTTTTCCAGCTGTCTAGCCATTGTTTTTGTTCATATCTTTATTACTCTTGCCCACATTCTTTTAATGATATCTTAATTAATTTCCAGTTTTGTTATTAAAATATCTGCCTTCCACACTACTGCTACATTTGTGCTGCTATTTTTGGCTAAAAATTGGAATCACCTAAGTAATAAAAAATATGATATCTAGATACCACCCTTAGTAATTTTAATGGGCAAATAAGTAGCATTAGAATGATGTTTCTAAAACATAAGCTTAAACGAGTCTACACAGCCTGCAACACGAAGTTTATCACTCTGTGGTGTAGGAAAACCACATTCCTCACACTCATCTAGAGTGCTTATTAAATATTTATATTCCTGAATTTTTCCACAGATTTTTAAAGCTGGAGCAAATATATTTGAATTTCAAATTAACAGCTTCAGGGTGACACTCAAGTACCATAATTTTGAGAATTGCTGATTTAAAGGGTAAAATCTAAACTCCATATTTGTTCTTTCAAAGAGGCATATATAGACCATTCTATCCCAGCTCTCAGTTACAACAACTCTCCCCAATTAACCCTACTAAACTCTATAAATCATCAGTTGTGCATTTTCTTACCTTTTATCCACATATTCTTTGCATCCTCCTCCCATCTGCTTAACAAGTAATTACTGATCTTTCACATACAATTCCCCTATGATGTCTTCCTCCCTAATAGAATATAACTCCATTTTTCTTTATGACACAGATGTTACCCATTACCTACTCTATCAGAGCACTAGTAACAGTTTAGAACTATAGACTCCCTTCAAAGTAGCAATAGCTAACTCTTCTTGAACATTCACTATGTGAAAGGCACTATTCTATTCTGATGTTTGTGTGAGTTAACCTCATTTAATCTTCACAATGTTATGGAATGGGTACAATTTATTATAATTTCCATTCTGTGGATGAGGAAAATGAGTTTCTAATTAGTGATTTGCACAAGACTACATAGCTAATAAGTGATCACATCAGAATTTGAACCTATTACAGAAAGTAAATATGAGGCACTTACTAGATAGGGGATAAGAGGATCTGAAAGGAGAGAAAACAACAATAAAATGAGTTGGTAGTGAGGTTTCCTAAAAAATTCCACAGGTTAGCCCTTCTTAAGGTCAAAACTTCCAGTGTGATGGGAGAATTGATTCCTTTAAAATGCAAGCTAGTTGTTGGTAAACCAGGAACAGAAAGGACTGCTACCTCATTTCCAAAGTCTAGCAAGAGAACTCTGGCAGCCTCTCATTGCAAAACAACTGCAAAATGGCAGTGCCTAATGAGAATCCAGGATAATGGAACTAAAGCCAACCTCACAGAGCCCTACACCTCTATTATGACTCAGAAAGCATGCTCAGATTTCCTTTGCCTGCTTTGGAAATAAAAGACTACTCAAATGAGAGTAATTAAAGCCTATTTATTCAGAGCTTGCTATAGCAAAATCAGCCACCTCATTTATATTTTGCAGAAACTCAAAGACAGAGGAATGGGAAAACTAGGTAGAAATCAGAGGGAGTATTTTATGTATGCCTTGGTTGAAGGCTGTTGGCTGAGGGAAGCTGAAGTTAGGCTAACTTGAAATGGAACATCTTAACTTGAAATGGAACCTCCTTGGTTAGGGGGAACATACTTGGCTTTCTCCTATTGAAGACAGAAATTAGGAAAATGACAATAATTAATCAAGCCCTAAGTGTTACAGAGACTGGTTTGCCCTGGATTGTTTGCTACAGAGGCTATGGTTTGGCTTCATGGGTTTGTTCAGCTTTTAAAACAGAGCTTTATTTTTACATGAGAATTGGCAATTGTCTGCCTGTGTATTTAGTCCTTCCATTCCCAGAGAGGCACGAAAGTGTCTCAATGTGAACTGGCATATACAGTAACTTTCAGGTTCAGGAAGTTAATGATGAGAAATAATTGTGAACCAGGTAACCAATAAGTAGAGGGATATATATTGACATAATAATCACAGTTTAAAATCAATTTCTCCCTTAAAATAGAGAAAATACATATCATGTGAAAAGTTACACCCTGCCTTTAGCATCTTATTTTTCCAGTCTTCACGCATATACTTAGAAAACTGAAGATTGTTACTTAAGAAGAAAACATCAGATTGTTACATAGCAGAATAACATTCATTGGAGCTACCCACAGGATCTTTCATATGAGTAGTACAAAACACTGATTTTTCAGGTGCAACGTTCTCAATAGCCATCAACTGAGAAGAAAAGTTCCCATAGGTGACCCCCCCAAAAAAATATGTCTACATCTTAATCCCTGTAACCTATGTATATTACTTTTCTTGGAAAAGGCTTTTGAACATATAATTAAGAATTTTGGGGGCTGGGGATGTGGCTCAAGCGGTAGCGCGCTCGCCTGGCATGCGTGCGGCCCGGGTTATATCCTCAGCACCACATACAAACAAAGATGTTGTGTCCGCCAAAAACTAAAAAATAAATATTAAAAATATTCTCTCTCTCTCTCTCTCTCTCTCTCTCTCTCTCTCTCTCTTTTAAAAGAAATTCTTTAAAAAAAAAGAATTTTGAGATAAGGAAATCATCCTGAATTGTAGGGGTGAGCTATATATCCAATGAAAAGTATCCTTATAAGAGTGAGGTAGATGGACATTTGAGAGAGAAGTAGGCACTATGATGGTGGAAAAAAAAAGACTAAATTTATGTGGTCACTGGCCAAGGACTACCTGGAAATTGAAATAGGCAAAGAATGTATTTTTCCCTAGAGGTCTGTTGACAGTTGCTGACACCTTGGTTTTGAATTTTTGCTCTCCAGAACTGTGTCTGAAGATACAGAATAAATGTCTGTTGTCTTAAGACATTCAGTTTGGGGTACATTTTTATGAGATTTATGGAAAATTCTTATATTCCCAAAATGTAATTTCTGAAAATAAAGAAAGAAGGGAATAAAAATACCTGGGATAATGGGTGACGCCAAAGAAGGAAGAGGTTACCCTTTAGATTAACTACTAAAGGATGGACACTGGGCTCTTTCTCAAATCACAATATGGGTGAGAAAGCTTATAGAATGGGCCAAGAGTCACTTGTACATCCCAAGTATCTTTTATAAATTGCTCAAGGCAAAAATTGTGAAAAGACAGGTACACAATGAAACTAAAGTCCTAATTTTTTGTTTCTGTTCCAAAGGAAATGCAAATGGGAGTTCTTCAAACTTAAAGAAATGATGATTACTAAGAAGAAGGGAGGATGGGCTGGGATTGTGGCTCATCAGTAGAGCGCTCGCTTAGATGGCCTGGACCCAGGTTCGATTCTCAGCACCACATAAAAATAAAGGCATTGTATATTGTATTGTGTCCATCTACAAAAAAAAAAAAAAGATTCATTCTCTCTCTCTCTCTCTCCTTTAAAAAAAAATTAAAAAAGAAGGGATGTATAAAACTCACTGGTAAGAATAACTATATGCACAGATTCAGAATGTTCTAATTTCTAAGGCATGGTGTATAAGGCATTCGTATATCTAGTATGAAAACTAAAAAAAAAATTAAAATAAGAACTATGCTAATGTGTTTAGATATAGGTAATACAGAAAGATAAAAAATGGGGCATCAAAAATCCAAAATATGGTGAGGATTAGAGTATATGTGTAGAATTTTCTTATTGGTACATTTTTTGAGGGTGTACAGGGATTGAACTCAGGGATACTTGACTACTGAGCCATTTCCCTAGCTGTATTTTGTATTTTATTTAGAGACAGAGTCTCACTGTGTTGCTTAGTGCCTCACTGTTGCCGAGGCTGGCTTTGAACTTGCGATCTTCCTGTCTTAGCCTCCTAAATTGCTGGGATTACAGATATGTACCACTGTGCCCCGCCCTTATTGGTACATTTTTTTCTCTTTTTTATTTGTTACCATTCTTATCTTTATGATTCTGTTAAGATACCATCATAATTTGTTATAATTGAAAGATGTTTTTATAAGCCTCTTGGTAATCACAAAGCAAAAATCTATGATCAAACTAAAAATAATAAAGAATTAAAATACTCCAGTAGAGTAATCAATTAATCACAAATAAAAGACTGTGAGAGAGAAAGGAACTAAAGGCAGAAAACACATTACAAAATGGATATAGTAACACCTTATCTATCAATAATTAACTTATGTATGAATAATTTGAAATAAATTTTCTAGCAGCTGTAGAATGAAAAAATAAACAAAACATGCAACTATGTGTACTATATGTTGCTTACAAGAAACTCAGTACATTTATAGGGACACAGAAAGACTGAAA